CATTTTGTAAACCTCTTGATTTCAGAAATCTATCAAAACGTGACAGTTTTGATCTTTAAGTGCCGGGGTCATAGTCCTACCCATTAGAGACCTCTTTGCCACGGTAAACAGCAACATAATGTATCGCATAGTTCATTTGTTCAACAAGTCTTATAACACCCTTCCAATTCATGGAATTCTCCAAAATGTTTATGTCATATTAAGTGTTCGATTATTTACTTTATTTCGATTTTGTTGTAGGAAATTGTCAATGTTTGAAGAATTATACCAAACATTATTTTGCTCGAGGAAGTCCTTGGCTGCAGTTGTGACACGGATACCAAATGACATGATTTTCATGCTATACATGTCGGTTATCTATCAAAGTCTTTCAGACATTTCTCATATGTGTTTCTTATTTTGAGGAGTATATAGATTTCAAATCAGTCTTCAGCAACCCGTGGTTGCCATAAAAGGTGACTATTCTTGTCGTAAGAGGCGACCAACTGGATCGGTTGGTCAGGCTCGCTGACTTTGTTGATGCAGGTCATCGATCCCAACTGCGTGGATCGATGCTCATGATATCAATTACTGGATATTTGCGGCGTTAAACAACAAACCAACCAACAACCAACTTTATCAAACAGGAAAAAACACACACAATGGCTGCAGAATCATACATGTACTTCCTCGTCACGATCGTCACGATCGTCATGCAGAGAGAAAAGACAAATATTGGAACTTATTATCAATAATGTTATACATACATTACGACATGTTTAACAACAATGAACCATGTGTTTGTATATAGCTATCTGGTTTCGGGAACAGGATGTAAACGTTGAAATCGTGATTCTATTTCAAATACAGGTACATTGTAAAATGTTCATGTAGAAGAGATGTCTTCTGAGAACCAATGTTCCAATCTTTGAGCGTACATAACATGTTCTAATGCGTCAAGATATGTGTGATACGGAATCAGTTGTGTGAGAAAGAAACTGGTCTCTCAAATGCTTTTTAATGGGTGCAAGTTCTTGACGTTCAAAGAGCGATCACTCTACTTTCACTGTATTAATATGCAAGAAGTAGCCCCAAAACATCGTTTCAAACAAAGAAGTTGTGATGCATAAAAGATTCATGTCTTCAAGTTCTTCTAACTTGTAAATGCTCATCAAAAGACCCGTGAAGATCCGGGGTAGAATAGGTCTCCAGCAACCCATACTTGCCGTAAGGCGACTGTGCTTGACGTAAGAGGCGACTAACGGGATCGGGTGGTCAGGCTCGCTGACTTGGTTGATGCATGTCATCGATCCCAATTGCGTGGATTGATGCTCATGATATCAATCACTGGATTGTCTGGTCTAGAGTCGATTATGTACAGACCGCCGTCATATAGCTGGAATATTGCTGAGTGTGGCGTTAAACAACAACAAACAAATACATTAATTTATTGTGTCAAGCATACACAAGACATGAGCAAAAAATAACATAATTCCAAATGATTAATTTCGGTCTAGACAAATGTATAAAACTCTCTTGCTTTGGCAATTTTGCAACTGTAACCCATAAACTTGCGTATTAAAAACACCTATCAATTTCCTGCATTTCATTGTCTAACTCTGAAAGCACGGACATAACAGCCAGGTAATGCAATAGCGCGCACGGAAGATTTATTATGCTCTGATCAGATATTAGTTACGTTAATAACAAGCTAGCCCCAACTGTCAGTACAGAACAGGGAAGGGGAAGGAATTTCTGTAAATATTTGTTCGGACCACGTGATCTGCATACATTCACAAAGGAGAAAAACTTTTTCAAAGCGTTTGGAAAAGTTAAACTATGTTCATATGGATGAATGAATGACTCATGTGGTCTTATAAGAACATTAATAAAATGTGGAGGTCTGCTAAAATGTACTAATATGGCTGATGGTGACGCTGTATATGTGTTTTACTCCAGATATTTTAAAACCAGCACGGCGGTAGGAAGAGGTAGAAACAGACCGTCAAGAACAATGTAGAAAAAAGCCTTGGGTGACTGACTTTCTCATAGTTATGCTTTCTGCAGTAAATCGAAACACCGACAGTTATCGCTCATCTGAATTTATCAATATTTAGGTACTTGAGAATGTCCGAAACGTGCAAGCAATAGTTTGGTTGGCTTGTTGTTTAACGCCGCACTCATCAATATTCCAGCTATTTGACGGCGGTCTGTAAATAATCAAGTCTGGACCAGACAATCCAGTGATTAATATCATGAGCATCGATCCAGAGAAGAGAAGATGTGGATTTATCTTAAAATTATGGGTGGTGAAACGAACTATTGGACATATATTAATCTCTTGTTCTTTTTCAAGTTGTCTGGTACAAAGGACAGTAGCATCCTTCATAGCTCACAAGTAGTTGATGGCGCCGTCCTGGGACCGCTCCTGGCTTCCGATTGGTCGGTTTGGTCTTCAGGTCACGTGACCTGCGCAGGGCATTGTGGGTCATGCGCGCGCATCCAAGATAGCTGCACTTCCGTTTCCGATGGCGCGCGCTTCCAAGATGGCGGCATTTCCGTTTCCGGGAGGCGAGCGCGCCTCCAAGATGGCGGCACGTCCGTTTCCGAGGGGCCATCTCCCCATCCGAGATGGCGGTACGGCGCCTCCAAGATGGTGGGAAGGGAAGGGCGGTGGCGGCGGCGACGGAGGGAGGGAGGGAAGGGCGGCGGCGGCGGCGGCGGCGGGTGGAGGGAAGGGAGTCGGGTTCCTTGTTTGGTTTGAGGGTCGTCAACGCCAAGGATGAAAAGCATTCTTTCGGGAGAGATGGGTGGCCCTGAAAAAAGGGCGGTTTTACGGAAGAAGAAGATTACTCCCTCACCCACACAGACGCAGTGGTGCAAAGGCGTAAGAGTCTCGACTAATGGGATCGGGTGGTCAGGCTCGCTGACTTGGTTGATGCATGTCATCGATCCCAATTGCGTGGATCGATGCTCACGATATTAATCACTGGATTGTCTGGTCCAGACTCGATTATTTACAGACAGCCGTCATATAGCTGGAATATTGCTGAGTGCGGCGTAAAACAACAAACAAACAAACCAACTAAGCTTATCGTTCCTGAGAGTAGTTTACGAGAATATCAAATATCGTAAGTATACACCTAGACCAGTAAGTACTGGTTCAGGACATGGATAACCCATACGTGAATTACTTTATTTAAATACGAACTTGGATTTATATGGTTGTCTCGGGACATTGGTTGCATCTCAACATTTAAGTTAATTTCCAAACAGAGATTTTCTGACCGCTTGTTTCAATACTGGCTCCCTCGATGCTCCAGCTAAATGCAATAACCACTCTCAGTTTACATCTTTGCTTAGTGTGGAAACCTATTTAACCTGCGAACTTCTCATTTAACAACATAAAATAGCCATGTTTCAGTGTAATCACTCCAGACTTGCAGTTGAATGTGGCTTTTGTGACTCCATATCACAAACGCTTTTGAATATTCTGCCATGCAAGAGGCCTTAAAATCCTATTCAAAGTTCCGTTGGTAGTCTTGACGTGTTAACAAATAGGGGGGGGGGGGGAGTGAGAGATAAGGTACATGCTACTATGTAAACAAGTTTAGGTCTAGTTTGAAACATGCTTTATAACACATTTTTAACACACATTTATGAATAATTATCAAAATAAAACAACATAGCTGAGAATGTCATGCGTGTTTTGCAATCTGTGCCACGGAATCCTGGAAGAGAGTGTCCAGTCATCTTGTTACATGTGGTGTTGCAAAGTCTTCGCCAAACCACCCGTTACTGCAAAATATTAGGAATCAGCTTCATGTTAGTCGTTCCCGTTAGTCGCCTTATACGACAAGCATAGTCGCCTTTTACGGCAAACATGGGTTGCTGAAGACCTATTCTACCCCTGATCTTCAATGAAGAAAAACACCTTCGAAACAACCCGATTATCCTTCGTCTGTTCTTACGACAAGTACTAATATATGTGATAAATGATAAAGTCGATTTCTTTACAAATTTGATCATTTTGATCATTCAATTGTTAGATATTTGTCAGGTTGATTTTGCATATGAAGCTTTTGGTGGTCTGTACAAACATAGACACTTTTTCCATGAAGGTTGATGCAATTTGTTCGCCTTACCAAATATCTGTACCTCACAGAGAGTGAGAAATTCCATGCGTGTTACCGTGTGTCCCGACAACGCTTGGTAGCAGGTGACGTCAGCTTCAACTGGTGGAGTTGATGACCAGTTGTAGCACATCTCGGCGACTATACTTGTCGTAAAAAGCGACTATACTTGTCGTAAAAGACGACTAACGGGATCGGGTGGTCAGGCTCGCTGACTTGGTCGATTCATGTCATCGATCCCAATTGCGTGGCTCGATGCTCATATCTATCACTGGATTGTCTGCTCCATACTCGATTATTTACAGACCGCCGTCATATAGTTGGAATAATGCTGAGTCAAACAACTATCAAACCAAACCATTCACTAGTATATACATTCCTTCGTAACGATTGCCATCTGAATTGCCTCTCGCTTAGGGACCGTCTATTTAATAGTACGGGGAAGGTGCGGATATTTTTCAAAACAAATTCGCTGGACATCCATGATGTCCTCAAAAGTATGTCTTGTGAAAACTGGGAAATATTGTTTTGAAACAGTGACCTAGAATTATTTCCCTATAAAGGAAGGGTCTCTGGTGTCGATCATCGATGACAATTGAATTATTGAAACCAGACATTAGGAAATATAACATTTCAAAGGTAATAATCAAATCTACAAATTGGATCTGCTGTTACAGTGGGGGGCCAGAACCATGCAGATACGTCAGTTAAAACATTGAAGGTTAAACAGTAAAATGTGAGGTTCATTTGAAACAACTTTTAATACGTCCTCCTATAATCGTTCTTCTTACAAAACATCAACAACAGGGGTGTTACATCTACTATGACACCGTACATATATATGCTAGCATATTCAATGCGTTTATTGTTAGTTTCGAATTGGTCGTTTCATCAATAGGCGCGTCATATTTCAAAGATAGCGTGGCGCCAATAGCTTCTACCTGTGTGTATCAATCGGCGCAGGAGCCTTGAACTCCGCTGAAAAGAAGAATATAAGTCAATATTTCCATCAATTCCATCATGTCATTTCAATGAGATATTACGACAATCTACCCATAAAGCGGCAATATACGAGTAGCCATCATCAGATCATGGTGGGTATGGAAATCACATCCTTTAAACTGACCCGATTTCATATTAGGCTTGTGCTTAACTGGTTCCCTACTAACTGGTACTGCTCTCCTAACAAGCTCTAAATCCACATTGTTCGTTTGTTGTTTAACGCCCAAGTCGGCGATATGATGACCTGACCATCGGTCCATTTCATCGCCTCGTACGACAAACTGGCATACTACATTAAAGGTTACATGTGACCTAGTCTAACCCGTAATCCTCACGGGAAGAATCCACATTTAAACATCAGAACAAAATACGTATAGTGGCCAACGCGTCAATGGTTACTGAACTACAATTTCAAAGTTTCATATTCACTGTTCAAAACAGCATTGAACCCAACTCACTCACTCACCCACTCACTCACTCACTCACTTGAGAAAATGACCTCATGATCAGTTGGTAGCCGCGCTGCAAACCGATCTATTTTCCAAAAGCATATTTGTTATATGTTGAGGCCATTAGAGAGTAGTGTTCCTTGGTAATATATTATGTTTACCGTTTATGTACATCAATAAACCAAAACGCATGCATTATACCTAAATGGACATGCAATGGATAAAATACCTTATTGTCAATCCACCATTGGTCGGATAATCCATGTACTGATTAAGCTTCGAACACTAAGTGGTTTCAGTGAAGATTATGGCTCTGTCAATACATTTAATGAAGTAATCGAAGTTTAAAGGTAATTTCAGAATCACAATATGGGTAAAACGTTGTGTATTTACCTTTAATACACAATAAATAATACATTGATGCGTGCACAAATGACCTGGTAATAGTCCAACAGAATTTTCAATCCTCATGGCTGGCATGATGAACATATATTGAGACAATTCGCCATTATATTCCAGTTTGATGAGCAATTACAAACGCTCGAAATTCATCAGGTGTAACTGTGTGTTATGTGTTTTATTATATCCACATCAGTGAGCAAGAACAGACGGTGATTATATAAACTTAAAAGTCTTATCCCATGGCATTTAGTGGAGATTTCTTGTGAGGTGAGGTGAGGTGAAATGGGGTTAAACGACGCGTCCAAGATTATTGCACTTATAAAGCGACGTGCATGCACGTGTACGTGTGTGTGTGTGTGTGTGTGTGTGTGTGTGTGTGTGTGTGTGTGTGTGTGTGTGGGTGTGTGTGTGTGGGTGTGGGTGTGTGTGGGTGGGGGGGTGGGTGGGGGGGGGGGGTGGGTGGGTGTGTGTGTGGGTGGGTGTGGCTGCTTGTACTAGACCGGACTGATGCCGATTTATAGCGCTAGCTCACTGAGATACCATGCCGCAGTTTAACATGGATACCCCACTCAGACACAGTATACTGACTCCGCGCCGACCAGTCCTTGTTTTAGCCCCTTAATGCCGAGCGCCAGACTGGGTAACAACAAGTACCATCTTTTAACGTTTTTTGGTATTATGCGGCCGGGGATCAACTCCGGACCTTCCGCTCTCCGGGCGGACGCTCTACCACTAGAACACGGAGGCGGTCAGATATCTTGTGGCTATGGAAAGAGTTTTATTTAACATCATTTGCTTGATAACGGTGTTAAAATCTACACCGAAACGTCGCCCAATTGTAATAAAGAAGTTGCTCATCCATAACAATTTTGTCTTAGTTAATGAATGTCTGTTGAACAAAACAGCCCTGACAAATTGTATCTATTCTTTGCCAAAACAGGTGTCATAACTTATTAAACCCGTGGTACCAACGGAGCACAGAACACTGTCAGACCACTAGTGAGTGAGTGAGTTGGGTTTAACGCCGCTTTTAACAGTATTCCAGTTATATCGCGGCGTGTCAGCTTAATGTGGGAGGAAAGCCCAAAGTGATGCAGGTCTCAGACGTTTACCACTTCGGTGAAACCCACGAGCACAGGTATGGCGCTGACAAACCTAGAAACATAACCGGGGCGAACCGGGATTCGAACCCACAATCATGGGTTTCTGGCGTGCCCAAGGGACGCAACTCTGCACAGCGAATCGCGGCGCCTTAGACGACTGGGCCACCCGTGCCCCCTCAGACCACTAAATGGAGTAGTGCAGATCAGTGATATACTAGTATTCTGAATGACGTTTTTTTCTATATGTTTCAATGGTTGAGTTGGCACATTCTAGAAACTGTATGAACGTTGCAATTCTCCAAATAGATTAACTCAAGATCTTACCTAACCCCGGACAGTCGTGAAGGCCAAGTCCATTGGCAGTACTCGCTGGTGTTACAGCAATGCTGTTTCAAGAAAACAAAATATTTAACCAACCACCGAGTTCCAACTCCTTAAAGTACTCAAGCATGCTATAAATTGACTCAACTTCACGAAAACATGTATATTTTTCTTCTTATCAACTTGTGTCTCCGTTGAACGTGTGGATTGACCTGATTCCTATTAAAACATGCATCATTTGGATATTTTACTCACCTTCATGTGCGAAAATCAATCAACATGTCGTTTTACTTTCATAATTGATTACTGGTGTTCAAGACATGTACAAGTAGTGTGTGTATATATGTAACATTAAGGTGTAGGCATTCCATACCCGACTCTATAAACAATGTATATTCAGCATCCTCTGTCTGACATAGAGCATGTTTTGTTGTTACTCATTAACATACTTTTATATATATTTCCAACCTATCAGAACAGGTATATCACCAAAAAAGCGAAATGACACATGGTCCTTTCTCTCTCGGTCGGTGTAATCCGCTGCCTACATTATAAATCAGGTACCGGAGTTAGTCAGTTAGTTTGTTTGTTGTTGTACGCCGCACTCAGCAATATTCCAGCTATATGACGGCGATCTGTAAATAATCGAGTCTGGACCAGACAATCCAGTGATTGTAGTGATATTGCATGGATTTGCTGTAAACCTTGTGACGTCAGATCCCATGGTATATAGTTCGTATAATACCTCGGCTTTTTTAGGAATATGTTAATGACTATTTTTTGCTTAACATTATCAAGGTGTACCCTTTGATTTGAAGGCAAAAGCAAACTGAAACATTGTAAATATCCAAATTATGACCATTACTTCCGCCAGATTGTGTTGTGTCATATGATAAAAGAGACAAAACCCTTTACATAAGAAATCTCGAGACGATTGTACGATTCCGACTATATCATGAACACGTGTCTGTGAATCACTATCAAACAATGATGATACCAAGTGTACGCTGAAATATGAGCGTATCCTACCCCAGTGATGGATCCCGTCACAAACACAAGCAAAGGCAAGGCAACTGTTCACCTGATACAACACGGACATGCGTCAAATTAGGAAATGTTCTTATGATTACGGACATCGCTTTGTTTTATCGCTTGTATTCCTTATAATTATGTAGGGAAATGTTAATATGAACTATATAAACTTGCCACAATATCGATATTTGGATCAATAATTACACCTTAAGTCATTTGCACTTTCATTCTTAATCATTCGAAGTCAGTTTTGTTCATGTTCAGGGTACTTACGTTTTCTTCTTAATTTTCCACATAACCGCCAGTGATCCTAAAGCTCCAAGAAACAACAGCAGGCCATAACCACCCCTTAAAGCCCATATCTCGTTGTTTCTATGAGATGCTACAGTAGAACAAATGTGGACACTCCTTCCCAATCCATCTCTGGGCTTATCAGTTCCTCTGAAGCAACCAGACCCACCGTTGTCACAATTGCCACCTGCTTCGCCAGCACCCCGTACAGTTCCTGTTCCCGTTTTTTTCTCAATGCCAACTATTTCACCTTGTCCCCTGTGGCCACCAAATCTACCATCACCACCCTTACCTGATACACTATCACTACCCATATCATTGAATCTACCTTTGTCAATTCCTGAACCAGCTCTCATTCCTTTTCCCATTTCTGCTGCTCCACTTGCACCAGCCCCGCCACCATCTACAACTCCTGCACCTCCTATTCTACCCGAACCAACTCCCAAGGAACCACTCATCCCTCCTCTCATTCTTGCTTCTCCACCCGCGCCAGCACCAGCTCCACCACCAACTCCCTTTCCTGCATCTCCTATTCCTAATGCCCCACCTGCACCAGATCCGCCAGCACCTCCCATTCCTGCACCTCCCATTCCTGCACCTCCCATTCCTGCACCTCCCATTCCTGCACCTCCCATTACTGCACCTCCCATTCCTGCACCTCCCATTACTGCACCTCCCATTCCTGCATCTCCCATTCCTGCACCTCCCATTCCTACTACCCCACCTGCACCAGATCCGCCAGCACCTCCCATTCCTACTACCCCACCTGCACCAGATCCACCACCAACTCCCATTCCTACTGCCTCACCTGCACCAGCTCTGCCAGCACCTCCCATTCCTACTGCCCCACCTGCACCAGCTCTGCCAGCACCTCCCATTCCTACTGCCCCACCTGCACCAGCTCTGCCAGCACCTCCCATTCCTGCTGCCTCACCTGCACCAGTACCTCTTATTACTGCACCTCCCATTACTGCACCTCCCATCCTTGCACCTCCCATTCCTGCACCCCCCATTCCTACTACCCTGCCTGCACCAGCTCCAACAGCACTATCGAATCCTAGAGATACTTTTAATTTTCCATTCACACTTTTTGGACTACTTCCACCATCAATTGCCTGTACTGTAATGTCAAAAGAAGACGACACGGCTTTTATATCAAAGTGAGATGCCTTCTTCAGCTGTCCAGAATACATGTCCATGAAGAAGTGATTACCCACGTCTTCACCCTTATCTGCGATGAAACAAAGTACTATAATTATGGTCATTGATTAGCTGTCAAGAAATTATATAAAAAATTATAATCTGTAGTCAAAGGAGCGGCCGGCAGCCTAGTGATTAAAGCGTTCGCTCGTCACACCGAAGACCCGGGTTCGATTCCTGACATGGGTACAATGTGTGAAGCCCATTTCTGGTGTCCCCCGCCGTGATATTGCTAGAATATTGCTAAAAGCGGCGTAAAACCATACTCACTTACTCACTGTAGTCAAAAGTCATCAATTGTCACATCATTATACGTTAGGTCCACAATGACGTCTGTGTACGTATGAAGTCATCTACGGCGTCTGTGTTACGTCAACATGGTGAAATGATTATCATTAAATTGTGTACACTATGTTTAACTTAATACCAAACTGGGTTAAAACTGGAACAACGCTCCGCCCTTAGCCATGAAAGGCCCAATTGTGGATATATTTAATTAAATGCGACACATCCCTTTCCATATTCATAAGAAATCTATGACAAACGCAGTCTATTGTACAACTCCGACACGTGACAGATTCTAATATCATAAAGGCATTAATATAGGCTGTTTGACATCTCAGTGAAAACCCACCTGATTTGACTGATATAATTCTGTATGTTACAGTTCCATCTTTACCCTTGTCATCATCTTTCGCTCTGAACGTTTCCACTATGGTTCCAACTGGGTCGTGCATAAGAATAGCTTTGTCTTCAAAACTGAAAGAGTTGGCTTGAAGCTTTGGAGACGTCCACTTTGGATAGAATTCATTGACCGGTAGGACCTTAAATACGAAGTGAGCAAATACAACTGATGCACATATTATTTGACTAGCGTATAGCGGGTGTAAACTTTATGACATTGCTGTGCTTGCTCCACGCAGGCGACCATAGCATGGAAGTGGCAATATGTCGACAATGCCGGATTCATGGATTACATACTATGTACATTTTGCCAGAGGTCAGAAAGAAGGCTCAGGGTTGGTTGGTTGGTTGTTTTACGCCGCACTCAGCAATATTCAAGCTATATGACGGCGGTCTGTAAATAATTGAGTCTGGACCAGACAATCCAGTTAATGATACCATGAGCATCGATCCACGCAATTGGGATCGATTACATGCATCAACCAAGTCAGCGAGCCTGACCACCAGATCCTGTTAGTTGCCTCTTACGACAAGCATAGTCGCCTTTTACAGCAAGCATTGGTTGCTGAAGACCTATTCTAACCCGAATCTTCACGGGTCACAAAGCTCAGGGACAGAAGTTGGTTCAGATCATCCTTGATTCCCATTTGATGCTGGGATTACTTGTTTTAAATGATTTGTTTCAGAAAATGCTAGAAGAAAAGCAACAAAATACTGCGGGGTGTCATGAAAAACATATTCTGTGAAACAAATTGTTCGGCTAGTTTCACAACGAAAACATTTCCCTTTGGTACCGAGCCTGATTCCCTTAGGTCGCCTTGTGCAACAAACATAGCTTGCTGGGGACTAATTCCAACTGGAATCACTACGGAGTCAAGTGATTAGTGACAGACCGATTACATCAGATAATCAAATCGTGATCACAGACTCAATATTAAACATTCATACATGAGAAAGAATCTTTTCATGTCACACGTTTTAATGAGTCCAAATTTACATTTTTTAAGAAAGTTCCAATCCCTGGCTTCAGACTACCTACAAGGTTATGTATTCGAAAAGGGTGTGTGTGTGTGTGGGGGGGGGGGGGGGGGGGGGTGCATGTGACAACCAATTTGAATGACACATACCTCGACCACAACAGTTGCTTTCCCTACGTTTACCCTCCCTGTATCCGGCATGTCAATTGCCCCCACAGTCAGGGTGTAAGAAAAGTCCTGTTTCTCTAACTCTTCGTAGTCGATCTTGGATGCATCCACCATCAGGGACGTTCCTTGCACGGTAAATATATTCTTATTGACTGTGTTGGGTAGGCGAAAGCGCACTTTTCCGTTCCCACCACTGTCTGCGTCGGTGATAGCGAAGTTGGCCAGTTGTATTGCTGAAAATACAATCCTTCCAGTTAGGTGGGGTGAGATGCGTTTAAGGCCGCGTTGAACAGTATTTCAGATTCAGGCGTGTCAACGTAACGTTGGAGGAAAACAACGTGACAGGGTGAGGACGTTTCCAACTTTGGATTTGGAACCCTTGAGGTTGGAACCCTAGATCGTGCTGATAGCCCAATACCCATAATCAAACAAAATCGGGGATTTAACTAACGACCAGTGGATCATGGCATTACTGAGGCACATCGCCTACCATTCCATTGAATTACTGGTAGGATTAGGTTAATATATACTCTGCAATCACTTCCACCATTCTAGCTGTCTTTGGTGCGATGAAACAAGTTACGCCACAAAACCAAAATATACTTAAGAATTGAACGGATGGGTTCATTGAAGTGTGGACGATTTAAAAGCGCTGGTTAAACTGTGTGAACCTCCAAGCTTGCCAGTTTCTCAATGCTTACTAAAACGCTGAGTTCAAGATTAAAGGTCTAAATGATCAGAAAGAATGCTTCTGTGTGTATTCATGCTAGGGAATTCTCAGTGGTCCCGTCAGTGTTATACTACGGCGACAACTTACAGACGCATATCGTGCTACCATTTGCACGCAAGTTTGGTCGACGTTTTGTATTCCAAGATGGCAATGTAGGTGCCCACCTCAGTGACATTATATCTAGGCAGTTACAGCAGCATGACCAGAAGACGTCAACATCCAACACCAACTTTAGATTACCTGCCACTTGTGCTTCAATGGGTGTTTAATGGATAGGGTACACATTTATCATTGGATGGATGACTATGAGCGTGCCACGATTAAACAACGAATGTAGGTTGAAAATGGAGGCTTTACCTGTTACTGATGGACACTTTGAAACTTTAATGAACTGTTTCCTATCAGGTTCCAACATTTTCCCTCTAGTTAAAGACAATCAAATCCTTCATTGACATGAAACACTCATTAATAACACTGCAAATATTTTATGTGTAAGCTCTTTGATATCCCCTACTTAATAAAATGTATCGAGACTAAAGATGCCACTTTAGAAAATGTCTCCATTTGGTATTAAGCACTTACCCTGACCTCCGTGTTCTGTGACGTTGAAGTGGAAGTAAATATCTCCAAAAGATGGGGCGTTGTCGTTGATGTCAATCACTGGAATCGTAAGCGACGCGTCAACCCGGTTACTCCCCTTATCGGTGACGGTCAAGGTCATCTTGTCAATCTTCTTTACACCACGAACACCATCGAAGTCGATTCTTCGTTTCAGTGTCAGTTTTCCATTGGCCTCATTGATGGCGAAATAATTGTGTCCCCCTTCAAAATAACAAAGTCACATTCGACATGTTCAATACCCATACTCTCTTACAATTATGTTACTAAAGAAATGATATGATAGTTAAGTTTGAGTTGAAAAGTGACATCTTTGAGCTTTGCTGTCATACCCCACGGGTTCTCCGTTCGTATACTGAGCCATTATCCAGGGCTCAGTCACAAGTGATCTTGAAATACAGTTAAGTACGGTTATAACGAACACGTTTATAACGAACTAACAGATATAACGAACTAACTTTTAAGTCCCGATTATGTGCTGTAGTTACGCTGTATATATGCTTATGACGAATTACGGTTATAACGAACTAAAATTAGTAGTCCCTTCGAGTTCGTTATAACCGTAGTTTACTGTATTTACATGCAACTACATGTATATATATGCACATGCAAGGAAAGCAAAAGTACATTACATGTACATATACATGCTCTCTGCCTCATAGCATTCATTCACCTGATGAAGGAGTATGCATATACTCTGAAACGTTGTGTTTTGTCCTAAGAAAGAAGTTGACATCCATAAATTCTCTTCCTTATGTGTATCACTTCTAAATGCCATTCAAAGACAGACACTATTATATTGATAGAATTGATGAAAACTCGTTTTCACAAATGATTAACCAGTCTCGGTTATTGTTGTTAGTATTTGTGTTGTTCTATAGGTCACAGATGATCATCGATGCTAACCTTGTAAGTTATATTTAAGATCGTCGTTGCGATCTGCATCAGTTGCGACAAACAAGCCGCTGAGTACAGTTCCAACCCTCAACTCTTCGGGAATCGAGAGGTCATCGCTGATTTTCAAAACGGGAATTTCGTCATTTACATCCACAACTTTGACACTCATAGCCACAAGGACAGTATGTAGACCATCAAACGCTCTGAAATAGATCATCAGACGCTCTGAAATAATCCATCAAACGATCTGAAAAAGCCCATCAAACGCTCTGAAATAGACCATCAAACACTCTGAAAAAGCCCATCAAACGCTCTGAAATAGACCATCAGACGCTCTGAGATAGACCATCAAACGCTCTGAAATAGCAAATTGTAAGTAAATAAGCACTTCATTGAGATTAGCTAAGATCAGATTAATATCATACAAATGCCTTTAACATAATTAGGACGAACATAGAAGCACAAAACAGAGAACACGTCTAATACGAATAAATAAAATACATGTATACGTATATAACACTAACTTTACAAATAAACAAATTAGAAAAAAAATATATATATAATAAACCGTTTACGTGATTATGATAATATATGTATTCAAAAAGCTGCTTTCAACTTGATTCATAATGAGCACTGAAACACAAACAACGAGGCTTGACGGAAACGTTCTGAGTCTAAATACAAAGGATGCATTGTACAACTCTTACAGCTTGCATCGTATTAAGTACAATACTGTCCATGCTTACAGGCTTAATAGGAACCATACATACACACAAACAAGCAGCATATTTCTGCAGGCATCAAAATGACTAGGTATTGTTATAAGGATACAATGAGTCTTAAAAAACGTTAGAAAATAGAAACTGCAATGACGTGGTTGCAATATTGTAATATATTGCAATATATATATATATATATATATATATATATATATATATATATATATATATATATATATAATAAAATAATAAAGTCCACGTTAGTCCATCATCTTCTTTATATCAGTTTCATACATAGTACTTTCGCTGTCTCATGACAGCTCTTCAGTGTAACTAGGTATTGTTATAAGGATACAATGAGTCTTAAAAAACGTTAGAAAATAGAAACTGCAATGACGTGGTTGCAATATTGTAATATATTGCAATATATATATATATATATATATATATATATATATATATGTGTATACAGTTACACTGAAGAGCTGTCATGAGACAGCGAAAGTACTATGTATGAAACTGATATAAAGAAGATGATGGACTAACGTGGACTTTATTATTTTATTATATATTACATGTACACCGAGTGAACATTTACCTCATTTTTGTATATATATATATATATATATATATATATATATATATATATAAAGTTTGTGTCCAGTCTATGACGAGTCTTGCCTGTTTTATTTAGCAGTTGTATTTGTAGATGGACTGGAGCGTTATGAAAAGTATGGGAGTATAACCTGTGTGTTGTGTTTACTCCTGATGTATGCAAGGGCCGGTACATGAATGTTGATAGAGACAGTTCGGAGTAGGAGTCGATTGACCAATCACTCCTTGACTAAGATGACCCGATTCTGACCACGAGATTAGCTAAGTCATGGCTTACCTTGACTATGACGACACGAAACGACAAAAAAATAAGGTAACTGTTGTAGGGCTGTGCGCGTAGGTTCGATTCCAAGATTCCCCATGAGGAGATTTCTAGGTTTGTCAACACCATGATGAGCACGTTAGTTTCACCAACGTTGTGAACGCTTCGGACCCGCATCACTGCGAGTTCTGCTCCAACATCAAGATGACACAGCCTGATAGAGCTGAAATACTGTTCAAAGTGGCGTAAAACACAACTCACTCACTCTTAATGTTATGCTAAAGCCATGAAGGTAATTGTAATGAGTGCACAATTATCTTTCTCAGTTCCCTTCTGAAGTGCTTCTCAGATATCACTCATGAAACAAAACTAAAATATCGCCATCGGTTACAGTTGAGTGAGTGAGTTTGGTTTTACGCCGCTTTTAGCAATATTCCAGCAATATCACGGCGGGGGACACCAGAAATGGGCTTCACACCTTGTTCCCATGTCGGGATTCGAACCCGGGTCTTCGGCGTGACGAGCGAACGCTTTAACCACCAGGCTACCCGACCGCCCCCCATCGGTTACAAATAGTCGAGTATACCCGGGGCACATTATATTATGGTTTTACCTAGTTTATTGTATTCAAACAAGGAGTACTTACTCTATCTTGAGGGAATATTGCCGGTCCTTTTCATAGTCAAGTATATGCTTCAGGATTACAGTAGAATTGACAATATGGAAGAGGTCCACGTGATTCTTCTGTGTCAACGTAATGGTGTCGTTTTCTGGGTCCTCGCACATAATGTTGAATAAAGCCTGGTGAAGTGAAAAACCGATATTCTTATGACACACTTTTATCAAACTCATGGGAAAGCCCACTCCATTATACTGTTTTAGCATGCACGGCTGACGTTACTACATAGTGTGATAATCGGGGTAATAAATATTAAGTGTAATAAATACTGTGATAGTCAGTGTAATAAATACTGTGATAGTCAGTGTAATAAAAACATGTGATAGTCAGTGTAATAAATACTGTGAGAGTCAGTGTAATAAAAACATGTGATAGTCAGAGTAATTAAAATTGTGATAGTCAGTGTAATGAAAACATGTGATAGTCAGGGTTATAAATACAGCTATAGTCAGTGTAATAAATCCTGTGATAGTCAGTGTAATAAATACTGTCATAGTCAGAGTAATAAATACTGTGATAGTCAGTGTAATAAAAACATGTGATAGTAAGAGTAAAAAATACTGTGATAGTCAGGGTTATAAATACAGCGATAGTCAGTGTA